ATACATGAAAATGAACCATTTAGTGGGTACATTTTTAAAAGATGATCATGGGTAGGACTTGGTCAGAAGTCATCACCCCCACACCCCACCCCCACACCCTCGGGGCAGACACCTGTGCGCAGCCTGGCCTTCCCAGCTAGGTCTCGGGTGGTGGGCAGCCTTCCAGCCGTGAAGCACCCTCCGAGCCCCGCTCCTGTGCTTCCCTGGAGCCCTCGGGCCACACCAGGCCACGTTCACCAGCAGCACCTCACGTCCTGCCCACGAGCTGCGGGGCAGGCGTGGCCAGCTCTGACCATGGTGGGGAATCAGGCCCAAGGGAGCCACGGGGCCTGCCGAGGACGCAGGGCTAACAAGCCGCGTGCCACTGAGCCACCGTGGCTTGGGCTCCGGCCCTGGAGGTGGAGGTTCCCCTGCCCAGAGCAAGCGGCTGCTGCGGCTCCGTCCACGGGCCCTGCCTGCCCCGGCCTCACCCTCTGCTGTCCCCTCAGTCTCGGGCCAGACCGTCTTTCTGAAGAACATCTCCACAGACACGTCGGGCTACTACGTCTGCACCTCCAGCAACGACGTGGGGACGGCCTTCTGCAACATCACCGTGGCTGTCCGACCCCGTGAGAGCCGAGGGGCCCCCGGGGGGCTGGCCGCGGTCCCAACTCAGCTGAGCCCGGGAGATGAACTGCGACTCCCTTAGGGCCACTCCCTGGCAGGGCAGCGTGGGGACCTGGCAAGATGCCTCCTGTCCCAGGCCTGCCCTCACCTGGGGCCAGTCTAGTCCACTGGATCTTTGGAAGTGGAGCCTGAGTCTTCAGCAGCTGGGCTTCTGCAGGGTCCCAGTCCTCTGCCCCAAGGGTCACTCAGGGATCATGGGGCTGTACCCAGGGACATCTGCCATGGCCCGGGCCCATCTTTTTAGGGTGGGACACCAGGTCTAGCTCTAGCATGAGCGAGGAGCTGGCGGGACTAACACCCGAGGTCTCAGAGCTTGGGTGACCCAGGGTGTTGAGGGACAGAACCAGGGACCAATCTGTCCCTTCTCTAACCTGAGGAGTGTCCCTGGCCTGACTGGTCACGGTCCTGTAGACTATATCTTCTGAGGGGTGTGGCCAGAAGCCAACAGTGCCACGGGCCCAGAGGCTGGGAGGGACCTGCCCCAGCCCCCTGCACTGCCCGCTGCCCCCTGGCACGAGCCACGTCAGGGGCTGGGGAGTGAGCTGCTCTGACCTGTTGCAGCCTCCATGAACGTGGCCCTGTATGCGGGCATTGCTGGGGGCGTGGTGGCAGCCCTCATCATCCTCGGCATCATCATTTACTGCTGCTGCTTCCGGGAAAAGGATGACAAGGAGGTGGACAAGGAGGACACGAGGCCGTGAGTGTTGGGCACAGCCGTGGGGGGCCTGGGCAGCCCACTCCTCACAGACACGTCCACCCCCTCTGGGGAACCTACTACGTTGGCACCCCTATTTTGTAGCAGCTCACCCAACAGTCCCAGGGCTGGCTGCTGTGGTCTGTGCTTGGCCGGGACCAGGCCTGGGCGGGTCCCTGTGCTGCTCCCTAGTGCCTGCAGGTCAGGTCTGTGGCACCTTCCTGCCCACTCCCTGCCTGACCCTCCATGCAGGTCCCTTTGCAGTGGCAGTGGGGTGGCGGGTGCTCTTCCCGTAGTCTGCAGGAGCCCAGCTTCCCGGGGCCCAGGTGAGGGACCTTCCCCTCTGTCATCACGGCCTGCAGGAACCGGGCGGCTTACCAGGAGCCACCAGAGCAACTGAGAGAGCTTTCCAGAGGGAGGGAAGAGGAAGACGACTACAGGCACCAAGACCAGAGGAGCTCAGGGCGCGAATCCCCTGACCGTGCTGGACAGTGACGGGCCGCTGCAGCTGGGGGCAGGGAGGGTCGGGGCGCAGCCTCCTGCTTCCTGGCCTCCAGCCCAGGCCTGGCTCTGGCCTCCAGCCCAGGCAGTGGTGGGAGCACTTCTTCCCCATGCTTGCTTCTGGGGGCCTGGCTGGCCCGGCTGAAGGAATCCCACCTGTGACCAACCCACCAACCCACTCCCCTGAAAAATGACCCCTGCCCACTGCCACACCTAGCTCAGGGTCTGCCCCCAGACCTGGACCAGGCCACAGCCTCCAGCGGCTGAAGCTGGCCGGAGCTCCGGCAGGCGTGCACTGCATGTGGGCAGCCCTGCTCAGAACTGCCCGAGGACGCCATGCCAGCCCTGCCAGGGAGCCCAGCACCCAGAGGAGCACCCCACAGAGGGTTGCGCTTAGTGCATTTTTGCTGAAAGAGTGAAAGAATAAATGAGTGCGCGGAGGACTCCATTGTTCACCTCACTCCCGGGCACACACCAGCTGGCCTTCAGCCTCCAGCTGCCCCAGCCTCAGCTGGCCTGGAGTAGGAGCCCCTGGGGCGCCCGGCCCTCACAGCTCCTGCTTCCCTGGAGTCCCCACAGCGTGACTGGGAGCCTGCTTTGGAAGGGCGGGCCTCCTTTGTGGGTCCTCTCTGATAGGACGGTGTGCCCCACTTGTCAGTAAGTTAACTGAATTGATCTAAAATGAACACCCACGAGCTCCAGATGGTACAGGGCCCCCTCCCCGTGGCTCCTCCCTTGGTGGCTCCCAGAAGGAGTGGCGAGCCCACCTCTGCCTCCCAGCCCACAGGGCGCACCTGGTGGAGGCTTGCGAACGCCTCAGCCTCGGCCCCCCAGCCCACCGCCCTGCCTGCTGCCTGGGGCCACCCCAGGGCTGTTCTCCTCCAAGCGCAGTTCACTGTTAGGCAAATATCGATGTCTTGTCTGGATGACCCAAGTGAGGAAGAGAACCAGGAAATCGGACCCCTCACGTCAGCACGACAGCAGGTGATCTGTAGGCACCTACTGTATGCCTGTCCTCCTGGTCCCCAGGACACCCTTAGGTAGGAGCGAGGCTCTAGTGGAGGAAGTGACCCAGCAACACCATTGCCTGAGGGAGGGACGAGGCCACAGGACGTGGGGGGGCAGATAGCAGCCCGAGGCAGTCTGGGTTCTTCAAAGAGGAGGCGACCTGCAGGCTGCATGCACCTTGATGCCGTGGAGGTGAACTTATCCCAGTCTAGAAACTCAGTGGAATTTGGTGGTTGTAGGTTCTCACTGTCAAAACCCCCCACAATGTGGTCTCCTTCGGCTGACTGGCACCCGTTCCCACTTCACGGTTTTCACGGACAGTTCAGGGACTCGGGGTGCAGCAGAAGAGTCAAAAGCCACCCATCTGGCCCTTGTTTGGCACTCGAGTCAGTTTCCACACAATCCTCCCTTGCGGTTTCACAATTAAGGCATATGACAATGTTGGCCCAAGGACGGCCCTAGGCTGCTTAGAGATGTCCCCACAGGTCATAGGTAGCCTTGGCTTGCTGCTCACATCCGTCCGGCAGATGATTCTTTTTGTCCACCTGACCCAGGTCCATCTCACCTGGGGCCACCGTGCCCTCAGTGGCTGACTGGTCATGGAATCAGAATAGGACAGGTTGGTTACCTTCAAGGAAACCTTGTCCTCTGTGCTAGTGTCACCAGACATCTTATCACGTGCAGAAATTCTGGAATATTCTCTGGCCTTATCACCATCTCTGGATATTCTGACTTGTTTCGATTTGGGTGAGGCTAGGGATGGAGCCCAGGCCTTGTGCAGGCCAGACAGGCACACACCCTGGATATTCCAGGTGGGGCCCTGGCACCTGCAGAAGTGGTTCTGTTGGGAAGCGTGGTCCTGTGGGAGCAGCCTCGTTGGCACCCTTGGCTGCTGAGTTTGCGTAGAGAGCTCTCCTGTTCTCAGGTGCGTTTCCAGAAAGACCTGGCCCTGGTTTCTGCTTAGTTCTTCTGCACCTCCTCAGTCAACCACGCCAACCCTGCTCCTCTCTTCTTTCCCATTCCTACTCCAAAATTCCCCCAGCTCCAGGGAGGTCAGGAGGTCTGGAAATGGCTCTTTTTTCTT